CGGCTTAAGAATCCCCAATACTATCCAATTGAAATTATATAGCTATAAAAAAACTGTGACAAGAAGCCTTGTTTTGGACCGTACATAACAAATCCCCAGAACTCCCCTTATTTCTTGTTACACTTTCCTTTCCACTCGATCCTTCACTAGTCTACTTATTTGGGCCCCTGAAAACCTAAGCCCTAAACCCTAGACCCTCAGCCCTAAGTGCTAAGCCCTAAGCCCTGCACCCAACCCTAAACGTTAAACCCTAATCCCAAATCCTAAGCCCTAAACCCTCAACCAAAAATCCTAAATCCTAAACCCTAAATCCTAAATCCTAAACCCTAAACCCTAAACCCTAAATCCTAAATCCTAAACCCTAATCCCTAATCCCGGATCCTTTAGGATATCCCAAACTGTCTCAGGTGGTGGCTCGGGCCATGGCAGTGCCTCAAGGTTGTACCTTGGAGGTAGAGGGGGCAAGGGTCACTTGGGGTTCAGGGTTTAATCCCAAACCTTAAGTTTAGGGTTTAGGGTTCAAAGTTAGGAATTTAGTGTTTAGGGTTCAGCATTCCGGATTTAGGGTTTTGGGTCAGGGTGGGTGTGTATCACTTTCCATGGTATTTTGCACCCAATTATGAGCCCCAAGTTCTCTAGTGTGGCACTGTTCTACGTAAATTGTAACTACATGTATAGTCCCCCTTACGTAGATAGAATATGGGGTATATGGGGATCTTATCATAATATACCCAAAGCCATATTCTATCTACTCAAGGGGGACTATACCCCTAAACCCTAAACCCTGAATAGTAGTTTCCATTTTCTTTTCCATTATCCCAATATAAGCCCTATATACCCCTATAGAACCCTATATACCCCTTCAAAGGGACCTGAGGTTTCCATTTTCTCTTCCATTGTCCCAATATAACCCCGGTAGTGTATAACCATCTGGTCCTAGGTAAGAGAAATGGACAAGTACTCGGGACTCACGATTGGTTTTAGGATTGAAGAGCGGCTGGAGAATCACGTATACAAGAATCTGAAACATGAAGCGCATGCCGGAATTATATGGGGTTAGCTTGGGTGTTATGTGAAGGGTTAGTTTTGCTCCTCTCGCCTGATGTTTCCTGGCTGCATGCCGGTTGTCGCCGTGGCAGCGCTTGCGGGTGGCATTGCCAGGGATGATGACAGCGGCAGAGTTAGGGGCCACTGGTCTGCTGCAGATCATTAGGCTTTAGGGTTTGGGGTTTAGGGGTTTAGGGTTTAGGGTTAGCTGTGGGGGCATGGGCCTCAACCTGAAACGCCGGCTGCAGCACGTGCCTATTGGTTGAGAGTCTCCGAGGCGTTACATGACGACAGAGACAGATTTCTCTGCCTGGCTCTCCTGGCCTCAGTCACAGAACCCTTGCAGCAGCAAGAGTCTCATCGAGAAAGTCGTGCCACACGCTCAAAGTCTTCCTTAAGTAGATAGAACATGGCTTTGGGTTTATTCTAATAAGATCCTCACATACCCCATATTCTATCAACTTAAGGGGGACTATAAAATCACTTTTCGTGACCGCAAGCGGGGCTTGATTTTACAGTATTTCAACTTGGGCCACGCAGCAGAATGAGTTGGTGGGAGCTGGTTGCCTTCAGCTGACGCGTTGAGGGGTTTAGGGTTTAGGGTTTAAGGTTTAGGGTTTAGGGTGAACCCTGTCTTGTTACTGGCCACCAGACTAAAACAGGGTTGAGCTGTCCATGTACCATACTTAGATGAAAGCAGGGGCGACATTGCCCTAAACTCTGGACACGAGCCTTAAACCCCGAACGCTAACCCTGAACCCTAAACCCTGAATCCTACAGCCTAAACCCTGAACCCTATAAACCCTAAACCCTGAACCCTCAACCTTAAACTCTGAGCCCTGAACCCTACAGCCTAAACCTTGAATCCTCAACCCTATACCCTGAACGTAGGCCCTAAACCCTAAACCCTGGACCGTAGGCCCTAAACCCTGAACCCTAAACCCTAAACCCTGAACCTTCTACAAGATTTCTTACGCTTCTACGTTGAATTCTCCTGGGCTGCAAGGTCAGGGGTTATAGGTTTGGGGCAAGAGGTTCAGGATTTGGGGTTGAGGGTTTAGGGTATTAGGGTTTTGCGGTCTAGGGGTTTAGGGTTTTGGGTGTTGGCGTTGTTGTATCTACTTGCCCTCACTGCAGCAAGAACTTTCTAGCCGAGAACAAGACGAGAGCCTCCCCTTTCAGGGATCTTGTGTCACTTGGGAGTAGTTTTGGAGTGACGAAGCTCAGACATAATCCACCCTACTCCCTACACCCTGATCCCTAAACCCCATTTCTCAACAGAGGGGTGCCGGGGTTCTTTGGTGTAGTACATGGAGTGACACGGTTTCTCAATGCCATCTCAGTGATCCGGGCTTGGAGTTTTGGGTCTAGGGTTCAGAGTCTAGGGTTTGGGGTCAGGATTAGGGATTTGATCCTAAATCCTAGAGCGAGGTTTGCGGCTTGGGGTTCAGGCTTTGGGGCTTGGAGGTTTGCCATGAGAAAGCATGTAACACCCAGCCAGTGACACTGAGTCCTGAAATGCTGCAATACCTTTGGGGCCTGGCATTGAGGGTGAGAGACTTCAAACTCAACCTCGCACCTTGAACCCTAAAGTGCAAGCCTTCACAAAAGTTGCAGTTGCAAGGGTTTAGGATATTGGGGCAATATTGGGGTAATATTGGGTTAATGTTGGGATAATGGAAAAGAAAATGGAAACTATTATGTTATAATAGCCTAAACCTTAAACCCAAGGCCCTGAGCCCCAAACCTTAGACCGCGCTTTTCGACCGCGCAGGTTGGAATTCTTTTTCAAGCTTCGTCCGCCCGGGGCCCCAGCAATGAGACATCCTTCCCCTCCCCTCCCGTACACATGATTTCTTTTGGGCCATAACTCCCCCCAATTCCCAAAGTCCAACTAGGATGCATGGTAAAACGCCCTGGAGACCTATTTTCCCCAAACTGGCATAATTGTTGCAAGCCCCTTTGTGGGGTTCCATGTTCGCTTGGGCGGTACCCACGGTTTTAAACGACTGAGCCGTACCCAGGAGTTTGGCTACAAGGGCTTCAAGACCCAGACCCCCGAAAGGATCCAAAACATGGAACCTCCCAATATTTCCTAGTTCCCCAATGTGGTTAAGGGGGGTAATTTTGGGGGTTTCCATTTTTGGGATCCCTTAGGGGGCTGGAGAGGGGTCTGGGTGGTCTGGAATGAGTACTTGTAAGTTCTCAGGTAGGCTTTTGGAGGGCATGGACATTATGGACACTATGGAATCTATTGTCTAAGTGTAGGACTTTTACTCAGAGTCGTATTTTTAAAGCCTATAAACCTTCTCGCATTTTAGCAATTGATGAACCCTAAACCTCAGGTATCTCCATACGCCCTGATGATGGGTGTGCACTTAGAGGTACTCCAGGTGCATAACACAAAATCCCAAACCCTTAACCCCAAACCCCAAACCCCAAATCCCGAACCCTAAACCGCTAACCCCAAGCCCCAAACCCTAAACCCTAAACCCCGAACCCCAAACCCTAAACCCCAAACCCTAAACCCTAAACCCTGACTCCAGAGCTCCATCTTAGGGATTTGCAGGGCTAAATTCCAGAAGCTTCCCTCCCTTTTCTTGAGCACTGCACCCTGAGTTGTGGTCTAGGGTTTAGGGTGTGGGGTGTAAGGTTCAGGTTCTAGGGTTTGGGGGTTTAGGGTTTAGGGTTTGGGGGTTTGAGTCTAGGGTTTAGGGTTCGAGGTTTAAGGTTCAGGGCTTCCCTAGCCATCGCCCTCCAAACACAACCCCTCCCGTGATAATAGACCCCACCCCCTAGTAATGAGTATTCCCTCCATACGGGAGAATCAGAATATTCCTATCACGGGGTAGTACTGGGGAGAGGGGATTACCTGCGAGCCGCGTTCACGCGCTCGCATGAGCAGCCGCGCCTCCAGAAGGAGATGGCATAGCTTGCTTTGCCGCTGACAGCATTCACAATTCACGATTGCGAATTTTGGGCATGCGAATTGGCGAATCTGCGCCATGGCCGCACGTCGATTTTTCTTTAATTGCACGCGCATTGCGTGTTGTTTCTGATGCTCACGGCATTGCTTGGAGGTATCTCAATAAACGGGACAGGCAGGCCTGCAGCAGCGTATTAAGCCCTGGAAAGCAGCAGTATCGGGTTCAGGACTGCGCAGGGTGGGTTCTGAACACGTGCAGGCCTTACTCTTGATTGCATCCCCTCTGATAGGGACATCCCCTTCCAATCACTCCTCCTTTTCCCCTAGTGCTTTGATAAGGTTTGCAGCTCATGTCATGACAACCTGAGCACTCATCTCTTCCACCTCATCCGTTTATACTTTGGGAATTAGTGTGCCATGGTTGAATAAGGTCATGCAGGATGTTTTGCATCAACCCTACAAACCCTTCTATAACCCCAGTAACCGGTAAATATCGTGTTCCATGTGATTTTCTCTTTTATTCTCCAGTATTGGGGTAACATCCCTAGACCCTAAACAGCAAGCAGCTTTCATTTCATTTTCCATCGTCTTTTCCATTTGATTCACCATTATTTGAGTCATATAAACCCTAAACCCTTAATTCTAAACCAAATCCTAAGCCTCTAAACCATCCTAAATCCTGAACCCCTAAACCCTAAACCCTAAACCCCCAAACCCCTAAACTCCTACACCCTAAATTCGGGTATTCATCCCATCCCTCCCTAAAGAACAAGATGAACCCACATCCTAAACCCTAAACCCTATACCCTAAACCCCAAACCCCCAAACCCTAAACCCTAAACCCCCAGACCCCTAAACTCCTACACCCTAAATTCGGGTATTCATCCCATCCCTCCCTAAAAAACAAGATGAACCCACATCCTAAACCCTAAACCCTATACCCTGAACCCCAAACCCCTAAACCCCTAAACCCCTAAACTCCTACACCCCCAAAGCTAAACCAAATCCTACACCCCCAAACCCAGAGGCTCGCCGGGCATGTGGAGACATTATCAAAGCAGCAGCTCAAAGAGCGGTGGCAGCCGCAGCCTCAAGACGCAACTTGGCAGAAGGGGTCTTAGGGTTTAGTTTAGGGGCTTAGGGAGGTTAGGGATTAACAGTTTAGGCAGAAGAAGGAATATGGGGGGTTATGTTGGGATAATAGAAAGAAAATGGAAACCCCAGGTCCCTTTAAAGGGGTATATAGGGTTCTATAGGGGTATATGTGGGGGTTATGGTGGGATAATGGAAAAGAAAATGGAAACTACTAATCAGGGTTTAGTGTTCAGGGTTAAGGGTTATAGTCCCCCTTAAGTAGATACCCAGCAGAAGGGGCCTAGGGTTAGGGTTAGGGTCTAACAGTTTGGGCTTCGGGGTTTAGGGTAGTAGAAGAGAAGTTTAGGTGGGTTTAGGGTTAGGGTTTACAAGTTGAAAAGGTTCAGGGCAATGAACGATAATTCGTGTTTTCTTGAATTCAGTATAACACGGTATATTCGAATACGGGTCCATATATAGATCTCCTCCCATCCCAACTGGAAGCTATCATCAGGTTGTAGGGCTTTTGGGTTTTGGGTTAGCATTTAGGATTAAGGTTCGGGGTTCAGTGTTTGGGGTTTTGGGTTTAGGACTTAGGCTTAAGGATTTAAGGTCTAGGGTGTAGGGTTCCTGGGAATGGAGAACCAAACGGAAAATTAAGTAGGAACTGGGGTTCTGTATGTGGTTATATCGGGATGCAGCTTGCCTCTTGGGCGTACGGCTTACTGCTTGCCTGCTAAGACTAGCCCAGCAACCAACTTGATGATTTGTGTGCCTCTTTTGTATACTTGTGCTATACAGGTGAATTTCTCGTAACTACGGGGCGGGACCATGCGATGAAATCCCCTGCCCCGTTAACTGTACATATTCCCAGCATCATACCATGGCACCAAAAGAGAATATGGATTGTTAGATTGGTTTGGGGGTTGCCAATGAGGCGTGTTTTGTTTTCGGGACTCCGGGTTCAAGGTTGAGGATTTAGATCCTAAAGCCCAAAACCCTATAGTCCCTAAGCCCCTGAATATACAACCCTGCTAAATTGTGATTCCTCAAAACAGCCCCTATACATTTATACATAAGGACCCCTTTAAGGACCCCTACACTTTGGGAGAATGTTAAACTTCGCATATTGTACCATGAGGGGACCTAGCATTCCTGTTCAGAGTTTAGGGACTTTATGGATTGAGGGTTTAGGGATTTAACCCTAAACCCGGAACCTTCAATCTATTCATAAACCCTAAACCCCAAGCCATGAAGTCCCTAGGGAATCCCGGGCTAAGCGTTTAAAACTTGGCGTGCGTATAAGGACTTTCAGGTTTAGGGTTCAGAGTGACCCTGAACCCTGAAATCGGATGGTGCGTTTAGTGCGAAAACTAAACCTTGGGTACTGCCCCCACCCAGTAACAGTCCATATTAGGGGTCCTATTAGGGGCTATATATAACCATATTATAATTATTATCCAACTGTTACTGAGGGGGTGCAGTACCCAACCTAAACCCTAAATCCTAAATCCTAAGTCCTAAATCCTAAGCCCTAAGTTTTAGACCCCAAGGCATAAACCCGAAGCCTTAAACCTAAACCCTAAATCGTGCTCATCCAGAAGGCG